ATATAGCATCTTTCAGTGTCTGAAGCCCAGGCGAGATGGAAACTGTTACGAGAACGCTTCGGGAAAGAAGATCGCCGATATACCCCATCTGGGAGCGGAAAAGCCTCGCAGCCTGTATGGCCATTATATCAGTCAATGATGTTTTTAAAGAATATTGTAAAACATCGCAAGTAAGTATGCTGTAGTTGACTATATTTTGAAGCATTTATTACAGTGTTTCTCAACCTTCAGATGTCTGAAAAAGTTATATAGGCCTCAATTTTTTAAACCTGTGTAGGTATTACCATTATTTGGGACATACTGTCCCATTTATAACACAATAAATCTAAAATCATGCTTTAAATACACATGAAAACAATTAATTAAATTAGAAGTAAACTATTAAAAGTAAATCATCATTTAACAAAGTTTTAATCTTTTATTACTTTATGTCTACCTGCGAACCACCTGCTCCATCATTGCGGACTAGATGTGGTCCACAGACCACAAGTTGAGAAACACTGCTTTATGATATTGCACAGTATTCTCAAATAGTTTTTTTGGCTTTCAGGACTCGAAGTAATTATGCACCATCGACCGACGTTGAAGCACTCCATGAGAGTACAAGTGTACTCCATGGAGATGCAGACACATCCACATGGAATACACTTGATACATTAACGAGAGATGTATCAGTGTGTGAACAGGATGACATTTGTGATGGTGTTGCGACCTATTGTGATGGTCCATCAACTTCTGTAGGTGACATATCAACTCAACTGACAAATATGAAAAGAAAAAAAAGAAGAACAGAAACTGATAATGTTGAACTAGAGACAAGCATACTAAATACTTTGTCAGCTGTTCAAACCTATCTAATGAACATTCAGAATCGCAATAGTGATGACATTTTTGTAGAATCAGTTTCTACAAATATGTCAGAATTAATGAGAAAAATGAATCCTAAAGAAAAAAAAGGAGTTTAAAATATCTATTTTGGAATTTTTAGCCAAATATGAATAAATTTGAACACTCCAAGAACTGTTGTTTTGTTTGATTTGGTAAACCACATTCGTGAATATACAGACAGTATTAGAATATAAGTATATACATCATTAGTACCTATATATATTTTGTTTATAGATTCCTCTATGTATAATAAAACTATTTTTATTATACATACATTAAATGAAACAAAACAGTAAATTTCTTTAAGACATAACAAGAAGACTAGATTATTCTAAAAAAACTTTAATATATAAAACTGTGCAATTATGAAAAATATACATTTGAATCAAAATAATCAAATATTACAATAATAACGATTAAATATTCTAAAATTTTATTATCATTATGAATTTGGTAGGGTTCCTCGATTAACAATTCCTAATTGCCAAGATACATGTCCCTTATTCGTGAAAAACTCCTTTAAAGCATTCTGATTGCTGTATGCTCTCTGTGCAGAATTCCGCGATCCACATTGGAGAGGCTCCCAATTAGGAGATGGCTCATCCCAGAAATCGCCAGGGATATTTTCCTGGTCTACAAAATTTGGGGGGCAGTATTCTGGCACAGAATTATGTTTCATTATAAAGTTATGCAAGATAACTGTGCATAACACCATTTTTGTTACAGCATCAGGAGATGCTGTAATTGATTGATGGAAAATGCGCCATCGTGATGCCAAAATCCCAAATGCACTCTCTATAACTCTTCTTGCCCGGGAGAGACGGTAATTGAAAATTGATTCGCCCTCTGGCAAATTCATCCCAGGATAAGGGCGCATAAGCTTTAGTTTTAGAGGAAATGCAGAATCTGCAACAAATGCAAATGGAAGGGTTGTGTTTGTACCTGGTAGTTTTCCTTCATTTGGCAAGTTTAATTTTTCAATGTTATTAGACAGGAGACTGCTTCCAAAGGCTGACAGTGACAAGATGGTTGCAGAGTCACTCCCATAGGCTCCTACATCAGAAGTGGACTGACCCATTGACTGGAAAGCTGTGTTAAAATCGTGCTCCTGAAATTTTTTGAGTTTTTGGTATTTTTAAGTGATTTCCACGCAGTTTTTGGGTGTTGGTTGATAGTGCCATCAGTTTTGACCCTTCTGACGCTAATTTCATTTTTGTGGAACCAGTATTTTTGGAGATATGGACTAACAAAAGTACAAAATCTTCGGACCGTTTTTTTGGACTTTTGGATACTGTTTTTCCGGAACATTTTTTTTTTATTGTTGGAACCTACGTTTAAGTGTGAGTATATATCCTAATTTTGGTTAATTTTGGCCCAGTGGTTCTCTCGCTTTTGGAACTTTGGTCTTCAAACATCGGCGGCCCGCATCAGGCCCCCACTTCGCCATTTTGTGGAAATATTGGTGTCATCAGGAACCTTTCTACATATTCCAGAATCTGCTAAAGTTTCAACTTTGTATCTGTTGTGGATCTTGAAATATAGCTGTTTTAATTTTCTACAAGATTCTACATTGCTGGGGTCAACGACCTCCAACGGTTTTCCAACAGATTTCTCTAACAGCCACTTCATACGATAACGGTTGTTTGCAACAACAATAGTGATTGCCGCCTTGTGCACTTATTGGAATTCATCTTGTTGGATTTGTGATGGATTACACAGATGAAGACAGAAACATTTGACTGTGTACTTTTTGAACAGTGTCCTATTTTTGTTGTTGCGCGAACATTTGTGTATTAATCTTAAGTAATTTAAGTAGATTAAGCTAGCAGTATCTATCTCTTCTCTCTGCTCTGTCAGGTGTGAACCCGACAGTGCAGAGCTTTACTGGAACTCAGGTTCCCTCTGTCTGTACACCCTTCAGCTTTTGGAAGGTACACAACAATTACACGAGGGTCTTGGGTAATTTTAAGTTAGGGTGTTTCTATCTCTATTACGATAATGGAGACATTTCATAAAGAAGCCAACTGTATCTTAGAAGAGATGAAGGAGTATGCATGTAAGAATCCCAATGGTAAATTCGGCGCTCGTAATCACTTGCAATTCATTCTCGACCAATTTACTAGAGTGATAGCATTGGCAGAAGCTTGTATGACCACAAATGAATATGTCAAAAGTATACATGACAAACTTTGAAGGATGGCAACAAAGGAAGATCTGAAAGGGGATACTTGCACAGACAGCCTTATTATCACACAGAAAGAAATTATGGATAAACTTCAAAAATTGGAGGATAAGACAGGAAGTGCCATTTGTACACCACTGTACAGTGACATAGTTAAATCTGTTAAAATAATGAATGCAACCGACCATCCGGGAGGAAGGGACATACAAATGAAGTTATATTGGTCTACGGTAAAGAGAGGGAGAAAATGACTAGCGAAGCAGTACGCAAAACAATGCAGGGGAAACTAAAGCCTTCTGCTATGAAGGTTGGAGTAGATAGGATGAGAAAGATAGCAGGAGGGGGCATTGCAATAGAGCTTAGCAACAAAGGAGACGCAGCTGTTCTAGAAGACCATATTGCTGATGCTCTGCCAGAACTAGTTACTAAAAGGCCCAAAAAGCGTTGGCCGCGTATGGTTATTTATTCAGTTCAGACAGATATAACAAAAGAGAATCTTGGAACTCTAATCTATCAACAAAATGAAGCCATTGGAAATTTCATTAGTGAAGAGGATTTTAACCAGCAGTTCAAAGTAAAGTTTACACTGGGAAAGCAGGCTTCCATGTTTAAAAACTGGGTAGTGGAGGTTTCTCCCGAAATAAGAAGATTATTTATAAACCAAAACAAAATTAACATTGAGTGGTCGCGCTGCAGGATTGCGGACTTCTGTCTGGTCCTGCAGTGCTATAAGTGTCTGGAATATAATCATGCTGCAAAGGATTGTCTACACAAAACACCAATTTGCAGTCACTGTTCGGAAGACCATTTATACAGAGAATGTCCCAATAGGGAAAGAGAACCCATCTGTGCTAACTGTAAACGTGGAAAGAACAGCAATTGTCAGCATAATGCACGAGACTCATCCTGTCCGATATACATTAGAATCAAGAGTAATACTACAGCAAGAACTGATTATGAAACAGCCTAACCATTACAAAGTTAGTATACTGCAAGTCAATGTGGGAGGAGCATTGCTGCCACCTCCCTACTCAGCAAACAGACATTGAAATATGACTTAATACAATGGTTCCCAACCTTTTTCTGGTGGCAACCCCTTTTTATAAAAGCCAAGTGACTCGCGACCCCGATACAATTGAAAAAGACATTTTTAATAAGGTACAGTAGAGCGTCGTTTATCCGAATCAATTGGAAACTGGGTTGTTCGGATAACTTATTTTTCGGATAACCGATTATATACGAAAAAATATCCCATGTTGAAATTTTTCTCTGTTGCGTGTCGCTTCGCGTTGAATTTTCGCCGATGTTAAGCTTAATGTAAACTTTTTAAAATAATCGTGGCTATTGTATCNGACTTTATAACCATGCTATACGGATACGTTTACGGCTACGGATACGGTTACGTTACGGAGTTTATAACTCGACCCTTAATATCATTAAAGGAGACTATTATGATTCTTACAAGTGATAATTGGTGACTTAATTAATTTTTAAGCAAGTCGATATTTCAATTCGTGTACACTTGAAGATTAACTTATACTATTCCAATAACTTTTCCTATTTTAGCGAACTTGAATTCACCAACCAGATTTGACAAAAACTCACTCTGACCTTGGGTTAACCAATGCTAGTGGGTCGGAATTCTTAATTCAACAAGATTTATTTTATCCGATCATTTACCTAAAGATGATTGTTACCCCTAAGAAAGATTGCCACTCAGGACACGATGACATTCCTAATGGTCAGAAAATTAATAGTCATTTTATTTATCTTTTACTTAAAGCGTTATACTCCCGTTTCTCGTGGAATTATTTGATCTTTCGATTCATCAACTGACGTATTTCTTTTAAGAAGTATTAGATATTACTAATATTCGTAAACAAATATCTTCCAATTATCGAAAACAAAAAGAACCGTATATTTACAAGTTAGTCGAAAAACCTTTCTTTCAAAAATATTGGACGACAACACTTGGCAATTAATAAGACAAAAGTGAACTCTAAGGAAGTTTAAACAAATTAAATCGTCAATGCAACAATGTGAGATAATACCGGAGAGAATAAGAGCGCTAATTAAACAGAATATTAATATAATATTTCCTTTCTTTAGTTTTAATTACTTTTCTGATATAAACTCTTCATCTCAGCTTAAAACTCTTCATCTAAGCTTCATCATCAGGCATTATAAAACTACTAATAAATGTAATAAAAAGAAAAACCGATATAATGATAACACAATATATAACGAAGAAACCTACTATAATGAAGATGATATTAGCAATATTTTTGCAAATCGCTACAGTAAGATGGGAGGTTTTTGAACTAATCAACAGAATTCAAGTGTATTTTACGAAATTCCGTAATAGCTGTTCTCCTAATTTTTTGTCCTTATGGAATCCCCAAGAAATATATGTAATCCTATGTAATCCCCAAGAAATATACAATACAATTATGAATTTTAAAGAGCAGTACATCGGATATAGACATTAAAACAGCTGACATAATTACTATGCCTATTTATCTCATATTTAAGAAATAAATCGTTCAATACGGATCTTTCTGGATGAATTAAATTATGTTTTGCCAATCTACAAGAATAGAGTATCCAGATCAGATAGAGATTATTATTCCAGTTTTAGCAAAGATTACTGAAAAAAATTTTATACGAGCTTCAGCAATTACGTTTGATATCAATTACTGTACTTTATTCTTTCTATCAATGTACTATATTTATAAAAGACATTTGTTCACTATTGATGCATTGTTAATCAATTAGTTACCATGGAACTTGACAAATCTCACTTAATAGCATCGGCATTTGTTGTTCTCTCTAAAAATTTGACAGTGTTAATTTATTAATTCTCGAAAATAAATTTTAAAACATAGGATTGACAGGAACACCGTTGTGCTGGCAATTATCCTATTTATCAGATCGTAATTATGATGTAAAAGTAAATAACTACAGTATTTGAAATTCTTTTATATCTAACAAAGGGTCTCCAGGAGTCCATCATAGGTCCCTTATTGTTTGATATTTATGTCAACGACATTTTCGAATTTTTACCAGAAACCAACCTTACAATGAACGCAAATGATATTGTAGTATCGTACTCGGACATCAATACAAAGGTTATTCAAGACAAGTTAAATAATATTTCACGGAAATTAACTGAAGATTCGAAAATTGATAACCTGTATATTAACACCGATAAGACTAAATTTCTCTGTTTTGCAGACATTTTAATTAATTTGTATATACATTTGTGTTTGGTATATGAAGGAATTTATACGTTTTTTTATTTTTATTTTTATTTTTTCATAATCCAGTAATGTCCAGACTATATGATTTATTCCAGGCTTATTGCAGCGCAAAGTACTATCCTTTACCTCCAGTATAATTATACTAAAAGAAACAATTTTTATGAAATTTATTTATTGTGCCGTCGCCAGAGGGAAATAGTTTTTAACGTTTAAATCCGTTACGTAGTATCGCCCCCTTCACTTCAAAATTCCGATGCCGAGGGCCAAGGCTAACGCCAAATTCGTACTGCATTGAATAGACTAGTNGCGATTGTTGAAATTGTATGTTATTAACCAGCCTCAAAATTCGCGGGTGAGTTTTTGTTAACGCCAACCTCATGTCATTCTCAACATTTAATTTATTCCTCTCAAACTCTCAACACATGTTTCAACCAACTGTGATAGAATAGCGTACCTAGATTACACTTATTTTGATTTTTAAAAAATATATGAAATTATTCAAACTTCAAGACACCATTAAAAATAAAATTTGCATTATAGTGAACATTTTTTTTTAGTTAACTGTATAAGTTGGCAACCCCACAGATAGCCCGTCGCAACCCCCCTTTTGGGTCGCGACCCATAGGTTGGGAACCCATGACTTAATATTTGTGCAGGAACCATACTGCCGGAATAATATATCATCATGCCTCCCAACTAGATGCCCTATTATTAAGGGAACTGAAGACTATTCGTGGGCTATGACTGTGGTCTCTAACAACTGCTTGTCAATTATGAAGCATGACAAATACAGTAATGAATTTATTGTTACCACGGAATTAATGTTGAATAATGAAAGGATCATTATCGTGAATGTGTACTTCCTGGGGAAAGCAGATGCTGACAGATTTATAGACAGATTACAGACCATTGTTCATGACTTCGATGGCATTAACATTCTGATGGTTGGTGATTTGAACACCCATTCCCCGGTGTGGGGTGGAGAATGTTTTGACTCTAGAGGAGGTCTTTTGGAGGAATTCTTCGCCTCCAACAATCTATACGTAGTTAACAACCCATATTCACCGCCAACTTTCACCTCAAGCAGAGGTGAGAGTTGGATTGACGTCACTACCTGTAATGAGGACCTTTTCCCATACATCATTAATTGGAGAGTTATGGAAGAGGATAGCATTAGTGAACATGCTTACATAGCATATGAAATTGTTGGAGCAGGGAATAACAACATATCAGTTTTTAATAACAGACGTAGATTCGACGTCTCAAAAGCTAACTGGGAAGAAATCCAGCATTTCTTACAAGAACACCTGAATGAAAACTATTCCCAGGATTCGATTGAAGTCAGATCTCAAATTGGCCAAGATATAAAAACAATAAATACGGCTTGCAAGAATTATATACCAATAAAGAAACATAAAAATAGAAGCGTTCCATAGTGGACTACAGGACTGACCAATCTCAGAAAAGAATGTCGTAAACTTAGGAAAAGATATCAAAGATGTATGGATGACAATATTAGGATTACGCATAGGGACGCCTACTTGCAGTGTCAGTGTATTTACAAACAAACCATTAAAGAGGAGAAAAATAAAAGCTAGAGAGAGTTCTGCTCCAAACTTTCAACTAACCCATGGGGATACGTCGAATGTGTACCAATAAACTGAGAAAAACCCAGATTCTGACCTCGACCAGTGAACAAAATGAACCTAAATCTCTCTTGGAAACCCTTCAGGATAAGTTGAACACTTTTTGCCCTAACGACGACCAAAATGAGGAAACAGACTGGCAAAGACAATTACGGATGGACATTTATAAACTTGATAACACAGAAAACATTGAACCTTTCACTATGGAGGAAATTGGATATGCCATAACCAGCATGGGCAGGGGGAAAGCCCCTGGCCCAGATGATATCACTGCAGATGTTGTTATTAACCTTTGGAGAATAATTCCTCATTATTTATACAACATGTATAATGCTTGCCTCCTACATGCTATATTCCCTGAGGAATGGAAAATAGCCAGGGTTGTCCCAGTACCGAAACAAGGCTCAGCAAAGGACCTCAGACCTATATCATTATTGCCTGTTATGGGCAAAGTTCTAGAAAAGCTAATAGTTAATAGACTGACATGGTTTATTGAAAAGAATAAATCCATCAGCGACTTTCAATTTGGATTTCGAATGCAAAAATCAGCTGAAGACACAATACAGCAAGTGGTAAGACATACACAACAGCTGCTAGAGAAGAACAAATATGTCCTTGGGGTCAGCCTGGACATATCGAAGGCTTTCGATAGTGCCTGGTGGCCCCTCATAACTTACCAACTTCGCAACATCAGATGTCCAAGAAATATCCTCCAATTACTGCATGACTATTTAAAAGAACAGAAAGCCACACTGGAATATGGACAACATTCTGTGATTAAAACCATATGCAGAGGATGCCCACAGGAGTCAGTGTGTGGGCATCTATTGTGGATAATAACATTCGATGCATTTCTGGAAAATAACTTTGGACAAGATTACAGCTTTGCCTATGCAGATGACGTGATGTTGCTCGTGGGGGGCCGGTCCAGAGCTGACCTGGAAACAAGAGGAAAAGAAATACTGAACAAGATTTACAAATGGGGGCTGAAACATAAATTAAGCTTTAACCCTGGCAAAACAAAGGGAATTGTATTCAATAAGTCAGGAAAACAGAACCTGTACTTAAGACCACCCCACTTGAAAATGAATAATAGCACGATTAAGATAGAAAAATCCTTGAAGTACCTGGGAGTATTTCTTGATTTCAGGTTTTCATGGGACAAACATGTTGAGTATCTGTCCTCACGCACAGGAATGATAATGAACTCCTTTGCTCAGGTTGCGAAAAGAAAATGGAGAATAAACAATGGCACTATGTCTAATATATGACAGCATATTTCTACCGATGGTCACCTATGCCTGCAGCACCTGGGGGTGGGCAGCTAGAAAGGTTCACACAAAGAGAAAACTCATCTCATCGCAAAGACGAGCGCTTCTTTTAATAAGGGGTGCACAACCTGCGGCCCGCGGGCCACATACGGCCCCCTACCAATGTTTATCCGGCCCGCGGACAATACAGGCCAAATCCCTTCTTTCGAAGTTTCTAAGTGTAGAACTTTTTCCCTTTCACAAAGTCATTAGCACCCTACTGTTTTATGACTTTCCCTGAGGTGAGAAATGGGGGGTTGTTCTATAAATAAGTCTATTTCTAGCTAACACTTTCTGGTTTAGGTATCGAATATTTTAAGTTTAATACATAGTATTATAACGATTTTTCGAAGAATCAAATAGNAGTCTTTAGGATTTCTTGCAACGTAAATGTATTTTGATTCGGGTGCATACGGAGTTAAGTGAAATGGCAAGTGTACTTTTAAGACACACGGCCTAACTTTATTTGCAGTTTCTATTCCCATCATTTCTAAATAAGGAGAGAATAACAAGAAGTCCTTGCCATCTTTTGGAGGTATTCCTTTATGAAAAATAAGATATAAAATTTGTTGCGTCCAAGTAGTGCCGCATCTTGGAAAAGTCGAAAGAAATATATCATCATTTCTAGGTTTATATTGAATAGTAGAAGTTATACATTCTGATAAGAATGATTTTGGAAACTTGAGATCACTAATAATTTGATATGGTATACCTGTGTTCGATTTTTCTTCGGCCATTACTGTAAAAAAAATTTATATTTAATAATAGCCATACAGTTCATTAATATATTCTAAATAGTCATGCAATACAACTAATAAGATAACATATAATTAGAAAATCACTTATGGCTGCTGCTATTTTCGTTGTGAATTTGTCTCTTTAATCCGATTTTCAGTTCGGTAGACTATCATATACACCATTCAGGTTATGAACTTCCTTTAATGATTTGTCATATGCATTTCGGACTCAATTGTAATTTAAGTCCCTCTTCAGTACAAACTCAGATTCTGTTTTCTAAAAACCTCGGTGTATAATTGGTAACGTTGTAAAAGAATAAAAATACAGCCATTTAAAAAACACTTCAACTACATATTCACATTAATACGTTGCACACTTTACAAATGTTCATAAAAACCTTTACAATTACAACTTTTTTCAAGAAAAATTCGTATGCACTTTATTGAAATGTTGCAGCAATAATGAACGTTTTTTTCAGGTTAATTACTATTAACACACTTAAGAGGATACATTCACACTTTTACAATATATTTCACTTTAATATTTTATGTCACCAGACATTACAAACCAATTTATCTATTAGCGCCCTCTATTATATTATACCACATTTGATCTATTTGCATACCATTTGAAATGTTTATTAAATCATCTTTACATTTTATAATCTCTATATGTT